GCTCTGGGAGTTTTTGATGGACAAGGAAGCCTGGCATGCTGCAGTCCATGGGGGGCAGCAAAGAGTCAGACATGATTGAGCAACTGAACTGAACTGAACTCTGGGCATCATTTATAGCTAAGCCATTTTCCCCTGATTTTATTCTAGAATTTAAAGTAACCACTTCAAAAATCAAATAGAAAAAGAAGTGCTTTTGCTTACAGTTGAATCAAAGAAACAACCTCAATGAATTCATACAACAAGTATTTGTTGAGTCCCTTTTGTATACGATTCACATATTTGGTCTTTAGGATCCAAGAGCAGAAACCAACAAGGTCCTCAGTCTCACTGAGATTGAGATCTAGAGAGAAGACATTATTCCAATGCTCACCTACTACTAAACATATAATATAAAAAGTATGTGATAACTTCAAATGAATGAAATCTTTTCTTGTGAATAGTTAACAAATTAACTAGACCAATAACAGAAATTCCAGTAGGAGGGGAAAATTTTACTTCACAAGTTTAACTCCTGAGCTAAGATTTTAATAAAAAGTAAGAGTTAATTAGACAAAGAGGAGAAGTCAGAGCATTTCAAGAAAAAATAGTATGTTCAAATGTCTTAGGGTGGGAAGCAGACTGGCAATTATGAGGATCTAAAAGAATACCAAAAAGTGTGAGAAAAGAAAGGAAATATTATTAAAGTTGAAAATAAAGTGAAAGTGAAATTGCTCAGTCGTATCCAACTCTTTGCCACCCCATGGACTGTAGCCTACCAGGCTCCTCTGTCCATGGGGTTCTCCAGGCAAGAATACTGGAGTGGGTTGCCATTTCCTTCTCCAGGGGATTTTCCCAACCCGGGGATCAAACCCAGGTCTCCCTCATTGCAGGCAGACACTTTACCCTCTGAACCACCAGGGAAGCCCGGGTTCTCAAAGCTAAGGAATGTTCAAATTACCACACAACTGCACTCATTTCATATGCTAGCAAAGTAATGCTAAAAATTCCCCAAGGTAGGCTTCAACAGTATGTGAACCAAGAACTTCCAGATGCACAAGTTGGATTTCAAAAAGGCAGAGGAAACAGAAATAAAATTCTAACATCCGTTGAATCACAGAAAATGCAAGGGAGTTAAAAAAAAAAAATCTACTTCTGTTTCATTGACTACTCTAAAGCCTTTGACTGTGTGGATCACAAGAAACTGTGGAAAATTCCTGAAGAGATGAGAATACCAGACCACTGACCTGTCTCCTGAGAAATCTGTATGCAGGTCAAGAAACAACAGTTAAATCTGGACATGGAACAATAGGCTGGTTCCAAATAGGGAAAGGAGTACGTCAAGTCTGTATATTGTCACCCTGCTTATGTAAGCTATATACAGAGTACATCATGAAAAATGCCACGCTTAATAAATCACAATTGGAATCAAGATTGCCAGGAGAAATATCAACAACCTCAGATGTGCAGATGATAATCACTCTAATTGCAGAAAGTGAAGAGGAACTAAAGAGCCTCTTGATGAAGGTGAAAGAGGAGAGTGAAAAAATTGGCTTAAAACTCAACATTCAAAAACCTAAGATCATGGCATCCGTTCACATCACTTCATGGCAAATAGATGGGGAAAAAGTGGAAACAGTGATACATTTTATTTTCTTGGGCTGAAAAATCACTGCAGATGGTGACTGTAGCCATGAAATTAAAAGACACTTGCTTCTTGGAAGAAGAGTTATGACAAACCTAGACAGTGGATTAAAGAGAAGAAACAAGAAAAAAGAGAGAGAGAGAGACATTACTTTACCAACAAACGTCCATATAGCTGAAGCTATGGTTTTTCCAGTAGTTGTGTATGGTGTAAGAGTTGAACCATAAACAAGGCTAAGAGTCGAAGAATTGATGCTTTCAAACTGTGGTGCTGGAGAAGACTGTTGAGAGTCCCTTGGACAGCAAGAAGATCAAATTAGTCAATTCTAAAGGAAATCAACCCTGACTATTCATCGGAAGGACTGATGCTGAAGATGAAGCTCTAATACTTTGGCAAACTGATATGAAGAGCCAACTCATTGGAAAACACCCTGATGCTAGTAAAGACTGGGGGTAAGAGGAGAGGGGGCAACAGGATGAGATGGTTGAATGGCATGACTGACTCAATAGACATGAGTTTGTGAAAACTCCAGGAGATAGTAAAAAACAGGAAACCCTGGCATGCTGTAGTCTGTGGAGCTGCAAAGAGTCGGATGCAATTTAGCAACTCAACAACAACTGATGGCTCAAATGGTAAAGAATCTGCCTACAATTCCGGAGACTCATGTTTGATCCCTGGGTGGAGAAGATCCCCTGAAGAAGGGAATGGCAGCCCAATCCAGTATTCTTGCCTGGTGAATTCCATGGACAGAATAACCTGGTGGGCTATAGTCCATGGGATTGCAAAGACTCAGACAAGACAAGACTGAATGGCTAACACACACACACACACACACACACACACACAACAACAACAACAACAACAACAACAACATATAGAAAGTAGTTAGGAGTGCTCATACTGGTTAAAAAGGGCCAGTTGTTTTATTTTCAGAAATCTTGTGAGCCAGTTGTGAAATAACTGTTTCACAGTTACTGAAAACTGAAGTATATAAACCTATATTAAATAAATTACATTAAAAAGAAAAGTTTTTTGCCTGATTCTAGTCATTCCTAATTATTTTACAACATTTTAATATGTATTTGTGCTCCTGAGTTTATATCTATTCTGCTGGTGTGGTGGAAGCTCTTTATAATGATCCACCCATGCATGTTTCTTCCCAGTCTCATGTTCAGTGATGCTGCCTTACTCACTTGAAGTTAACCATGGCATGAGTCCACACCATGGAAACTGGCAAACTCTTTAAATCAGGACTCAAATCCCTAAGAACCAGTTATTCAACAATTACCAGAACAACACTGAGACTTTACAAGCCCCTGGAGACCATGTTAAATTGATATGTATCACAGAAGAAATGAGCAGGTATTAAAAGTTTTAAGCAGGGAATGACAAAAATACAACTCAGTTTTTTAAAAGATCACTAAGATTATAGAACTGAGAGGGGAGGCAAGGTTCAGACTGGGATCAGAGAAAGGAAGATGGAGAGAAGTGAATGGATTCAGGAACTCAAATCCGCTAAAATTGAAGGCCTAGCTCTCATGGTACTGGTATTAACCAATCACATAAGACTCACCTGTGGAAGAAGTAAATTCTCCGTGTCCTCTCTACCTTCTGGTTGGTCATGATGTCTTCATTTTGAGCCCAATCTTGTGTCAAAGGGCTAACTTCACAGTTGAACACACTTCAGCCTGAGTAAGAGAAGAAACAGCTTACATATGGAAACATGAGATGAAGGGACTCATTCCATTTAAAAATAAATTATTTTTAAAGTCACCCGTAGCTTCCTTCATCATGTAAACATAATAGTACATGTACGGCAGCTGTGAGAATGGTCTCTAAGATCTGTGACTTCAGAGCGTGTAAATGACAGAGGGTCAAACTTCTTGGCTTTGAAATTGAGCATTTGAGCTGAGGCTATGTTTCCCACAGGCTATCCCAGACCATGACTTAATAAAGAAGAGAGTCTAAGCCAGCTGGTAGTAGGAGGTGCTAGATTCCTTAACTCCTTGATTCTCTGATTGTCCTGCCCAACTTGCCTTAGGAAGGCATGGCCTGGAACTCTGCCACCCAGTTTTCCTGTCTTCACAATCACCCTCCTACACTTGGGGTTGATCCTGCATTGTGGTGTGATGGGCCTGCAGTTTTACTTGGTTTCTTGATTGTGTCTTGTGTCTTTGGCATATACGGAGTGACTGTGACTTGGACCCCTCCTCCACGTGGTAGCAGACGTAAGTAGTAGGTTCCTGGATCCAAGAGAACGTTTCACCTCCTCTTCCAAGAACATAGGCACCTCTTTCTTCCAGCCTCGAAGCAGCTGATCAAAGCAGCTGATCATTGCCTATGTCTTAGAAGTTAGAGGGTTTCTTGCCATCCCCCTAGTGCTGAAGGCTTCTGTTTTGTAAGAAAGAAGGGTCTGGGAAATGGGTGAGTTTTTGTGCCCAAGAGGGACCCTTTGCAGTCTCTGCCTGCCCTCAGAGAAGCCTATGGAAAAAGGGCCACGAGTGAGAACAGGCTACATTGTGTCTGGGGTCTTCAGGTTTCTAACTTGTCATGATAGCACACTCTGCCTTTAATTACTCTTTAATGTCTTAGCTGTTTTCTTTACTCACTTTTGTACACTACATCTTTTGCCTGTGATTGGCCAAAGATGGAACAGTCTTTGTGTCCTGTCTACCTTCACAGGGTTTGGAGCCCTTTACAGTTCAGTTTATTTGGTTACTTTGTGATCTCAGTTCTCTGATAATCTCTAGGAAAGTTTTGATTTTTGCAGATTATCAGGACTTGTTTCATTTTAGCATGAGATTAATGTTCTCCTATGCTTTCTACAGGATAAGTCAGAAGGAAAGCCCCCTCCCCTGTTTAAAATCAGTTTAATAACCAGTGGGGAGAAGGATGGGGGAGGAGCAAATAGGAGTAAGTGATTAAGAGGTACCAACTACCACATACAAAATAAATAAGCTACAAGGGTATACTGGACAGCACAGGGGATATAGTCAATATTTTATAATACATTTAAATGAAGGGTAACCTATAAAAATATCAAGTCACTGTATTGTACACCTGAAACTAATATTGTAAATCAATTTTAAAAGTCAGTTACGTTTCTGTATTAGATTTTATCTTTGGATACAGCAGAGTCAGGGATAGAACATATACATAAATAACATATTCTAGGCATGTGAAATCATTATGTCATCAAATAGTTGGTGCTCTTCTGGTAGATACTCTGCAAATTTGTTGAATGAAAACTTAAGAACAATGGAATTCACCATTCAGTATTAGTCCCTGTTCCCATATCTGATTATGAAATAGGAAGACACTTGTGGTATATTTTGCTTGGGGTCGTTGTTCAACATGATTCCCTTGTGCTTTTTACCAGGTGGTTGACCAGATTGATACCCTGACCTCTGACCTACAGCTGGAGGATGAGATGACTGACAGCTCCAAGACGGACACCCTAAATAGTAGCTCAAGCGGGACGACAGCCTCCAGCATAGAGAAGATCAAAGTGCAAGCCAATGCCCCCCTCATTAAACCCCCAGCCCACCCATCTGCTATCCTCACGGTCCTGAGAAAGCCAAACCCTCCAGCGCCTCCTCCACGGTTGACACCCGTGAAGTGTGAAGACCCCCAGCGAGCGGCGCCCACTGTCAACCCGGTAAAGACCAATGGCACCCTTCTGCGGAATGGAGGCTTCCCTGGGGCACCGACCAAAATTCCCAATGGAGAAATCTACTGCAAACCCAGCAGTAACGTGGACAAGGCTCCCGGGCAGCCTCTGATGCACAGACCCGAAAAAGACAGGTGCCCCCAAGCTGGGCCTCGGGAACGAGTAAGGTTTAATGAAAAAGTCCAGTACCATGGCTATTGTCCTGACTGTGACACCAGGTATCACGTAAAGAACAGGGAGGTCCTCTTACACAGCGAACCCGTCCACCCACCAGGAAAGCTTCCTCCCCAAGGCCCTCCCCACCCACTTCCCCCTCATCTCCCCCCTTTTCCACTAGAAAATGGGGGGCTGGGAATAAGCCACAGTAACAGCTTCCCCCCACCCAGACCTGCAACTGTGCCTCCTCCCACTGCACCCAAACCACAGAAGACGATCTTGAGGAAGTCCACCACTACAACAGTGTGATGTATGCCATTTAAAAGCTTTTTTTTGTTTTTTGTTTTTTAGTTTTTCTATATTATTAACATAATAAGTAATGAGCACTTTCTACTCAAGCAATAAAAAGCCCAAATATATTTATCCTGCATTCAGCAGAGTGACATAAAAATCACCTGGTAAGTATGCAGTACTTTGTTTATATCCTGAGTATTCATTGTTTAAAAAGTTACATGATCAGAAACCACAGAATAATGAAAAAACTAAATATGTCATTTTTTTCAGTTAACCCATTACAAACTGTAGGTTTCAAAGATTTTGATTTACTATAAGAGATGGGATTAGATTCATTTTATTCATGCTGACTCATCTATGCATTAATATGCCATGCTCTTAACTTCGATGTCATGCTTTTTAATAAGAAATTTTAATACTGAAGGACTATTTTATTATTTTTTTCTAAAGATGTTTGTCACTAGTTTTGCATAATTAAATGCTGAGGATGATACAAGAAGGTTTATTTTCTATACTATACAATTATGATTCTATGTTCACCTATATATGTAATGAAAGATTTGGTCTGTGGAAATATATGTCAATAAACAACGGTAAATAATGACAAAACCAAATGTTCCTCGGAATTAAAATGAAACAGCGGTTCACTCAATCCCATGGTAATTTACATCAAAATGGATAGCAACTCTGACAGAGTTTGGAGATCACTGTGAGTATAAGTCAGAATGTTTCAAATTAAATATCATAATCCAGGTACTAAATAGGACTGTACACTTTGCATATGATGTGTTTCCATTTTGGCACCTCAAGGATGATCTAGTGCATGCCAGCCCTTGAAGGTCCCCCTCACTGTCAGCATGCCTCCAGGACACTCCATAAGCCAGCTCACTGAAGCAGTGGGATGACTCACCTCCTGCATCAACAAGCTCTCTGCCTCCCTGAAGGAGTCCCTCATTTATAGGAGAATCACACAAGAAAATAGAGATGTTTCCGGGACAGGATGTTTTTAGCATTTGCCTTAAGCTGATTCCCCTCAGAGCTGAAATATGCCAGGGTTCTTTGTTATTCTATAGAAGGGAGAGAGGAAATCCTTTCCTTCTAATATCCAATAAATGTGCTTCTCTTTAATTTGTCAGCTTAGATGATACTTACCCAATTCTTAACTCCCATGATTTGGACTGATAATGTCATTTGCCCTGGAATGAGAAATGGGTTTACTCCCTTAGAATCATGATGAAAGGTAAGTGCCTGAGCAAAATGTGTCCATTAAGTGGCAGGAGTAGAGGGAGTCATCTTTGGTGGAGATTTGATTATTATGCAACTTAAAAAAGAATACTGTAATACTTTTGAATATTTGGGTTTTGATCTCAAAACTTTAATTTTTGCTGCTGCAGAAAGGTACTCTTCAATCATATTTCTTTGTTGCCTTTTTCAAGTTATATCATAATAATTTGGAATACTATTTTTGAACAACTTCCTATTTAAAGTGATAATATATTTTAGGCATAATTCCCTAAAGAAAATAAGCTTATTTTTTAAAGGAACAATGAAATGAGGAAAAAAATAGAGATATCATGTTGAAAATTTACTCTGCATGATTTTTGTTGTGTGTGTGTTGGACATGAAGATAATGCAAGCAGAATAAATCCAACTTTTAAGAAACTTACAGAACATAAGACCAATAACCAAAGACCAGAATCTAAAATGTATTAACTGTATGATCTGTATGTTTAATAAATGTGAGAGAGGTAAATAAATAATTGACTTATTGAATATCAGAATCAGAATCACACATATATTCTTAATGTTTTAACTTGTTCATTTAGGCTTGTTATAAATAAACCCAGGATTTTATCACCTTTCTAGATTTAAATATTTATATCCTCTCAAATGTCCATCTGGTGTTAGGCCTTTTGATATTACAGTCATAGAAGACTTGCTCTTTTCTCCCTTCAGGCCCTCTTTCTTTCACAGCCAATTACTGTGACCTAATAATTATAGTTTGAGACTTTGAACCTTGTGATGTCTGGGAACCAACCTGGACCTCAAAACTGAGCTTACTAACAGCTGCGTATCATTCATGGAGCAGATAACTCATTTGCAATAAAGCAAGTTGAATAAGCTAGATGATTTAAGCTTGCTGGTTAAGGATATTTGAGCCAGATGCTTAGACATAATTTCTGAGGTTCAAAGCCATCTCTCTTCCTCAAATTGTAGACAAAGCTACCTCATAAAAGATCATCTTTTTATGTTTTATTAGTGACATATGCCAAAACCACAACTCCTGTTTTTATTTCACACATTTATAAGTTATTCTTGGCCTGTAAAGCTGAGTTCAGCCCCAGTGTTAAGATAGTTACAGTTGTTGACCTTCTTCTCTTATTACAGTCTATCACTTAGTCAACATTAAACGGTAGATTACAGCAAGTGTTGGACATTCTTTTTAGTTTTTGGTTCCATATGTTCCTTTTTAATTTTTTTTAACTAATGTATAAAATATATTGGGCCAATAGGGTTTTTTTGCCCAATAATTTTGTAACATTCACTGGAACTTAGTCATGCCTCTAAATATATATAAACTTGTAAAACATGGAAAGTAATTAACATAGAGTGTCATAATATTTGCCTGGAAACTTGCAATTAAAGTGTCATAAGTGGCAGTGCAGTTTTTGTAATCAGCCAACTCTTGCTTTTGAAATTTAAATTCTGAAATGCAAGTTCTGTACATCATTTATTAAATCATCATAAAACATGGTCTATATTTTTTCTTCCTGAATATACCAAAGCAGAATTTTTTTTTCCAAATTTTTAAGGGCATGTTCTTTTTTCACATCATGATTTTAACTCTTTTATTCACACATGGAGTACTATACCAAAAAGCTGACCTCGTACTCTTTTGGAAGATAATGTTTCTACAAAATGTGAAGTGGTAGTACTACTTATGACTGTGTCTCTTTATAGTGAAAGGTAGAACATATGGCTCAAAAAGCTATATCAATTAATAAATTGGAATAAGAAAAGTAGACAGAGAATGAGATGGTGAGATGGTTAGATAGCACCACTGACTCACTGGACATGAATTTGAGCAAACTCTGGGACATGGTGAAAGACAGGGAAGCCTGGCATGCTGCAGTCCATACACACACAGCTTAGCAACTGAACAACAAGGAAAAATTTTGTCTTGTTAGTTTAAACACAGACGGTACCATTTTTGTAATGAGAGGTTATTGTATCTCCACTGATAAACGGTGAAAAGAAAAGAAAGTTGACCAAAGTTCTCTTCCATCTCTCAGTAGTTATAGGAGTTATAAAAGGAAATAAAACTGATTTTTTTAGGCCATGCTTAAGCTAAATATAAAATATCTGCTAAAAAAATACAGGGCATGGAAGAAAAGAAATTCCCCACTCTTCAGTCTGATTATATTCATACCTCCTATTAGTTTAATAATAGTCTATGAAAAAAATGTCTGCTATTAACTGAAGTGATTTAATTAACCTGAAAAATCTTGTGTTTGAATTATGCCTGCATCTAACTGCTTAATGAATAAAGGAATAAGGCACTGCATATTATATGGCTTTTTTTAGACAAATCAGTAGTTGCTTTTAACATCACCAAGAACAGCAGCTACACACTCTCTGAAACTCTGCAGGACGTTTTATCTGCATGTTCTAATTATAGATCTTGGATGCTTCGTGAAGAGAAGGCTGAGTAGTTCCACATGTAATTGCTCTAGGAATGATGGAATCAAGTCATGAATCACCACCTTAACTGAATTTTTTCCCATGGAATATAGGCAATAAGGCAATGTCTTGTATTTGTCCTAGTTCAGGTTTCTTTCCCCAGTTTCTCTGGTCTTTCCCCAGTTTCACATGCTGTAATGTACACTCAAATTTGTAGCAAAAGACTGCATTGTTGTGCATTGGTACCTAGTGATATTTTCTAAGTGAGGAAATGCTTTATGAGCAATAAAATTCCATATCACATAATTAAGTAAAGTACACAGAATCTGACATTTACTAGACACTATTGCAAAATTAGACATTTTCTGAGTCAATATGGAACTGTGACACTGTATTCAAATTTTTAGACTAAAACTTTCACAATTTTAGAATTGTGTAAGTCACCTGATTCTGAAATAATGATAGATGTGATACTACCATTTGGGCAGGCAGCAGTGTTGAACATAAAACTGCATCATTGTTTAGTTGCTAAGTCATGTCTGACTCTTTTTTGACCCCATGGACTGTAGCTGACCATACTCCTCTATCCACAGAATTTCCCAGGCAAGAATACTGGAGTGGGTTGCCATTTCCTTCTCCAGAGTATCAGGGATCAAGCTTGCACCTCCTGCATTGGCAGGTGGATTCTTTACCACTGAGCCACCAGGGTAACCCATAAAACTGCATTAGCTGCATTTTAGTGGAGCATCCCTTATGAAGGGTGTTATTTCATTGGAAGCACTTGGATTTATCATTCTGGTCTTTTTGGATAAACCGAGAGTGGAATATAAAGAAGCTCTGCAAACAACATTCTCTTTAAAACATAGTTAGATTAACCTGATACATAGAACTGTGTGAAGACCAAGCAAAATATGTAGGAAAATTTGCTTATGACTTATGACTTCCAGACTGATCCAAGATGGGTAAACTAATATTTTTAATGTTTTCTGAAGCTTTACATGCATTAGTTTTTTCTAACTCATATGAATGCATAAAATAGAAATTATTATCCTGATTTAAAAGTGAAGAAATCCAGGACCTCAGTCTCAGTGCTTTGCCAAACCTGACCCCTTAGTAAACGACCGGCTGGCATTTTATTAATAATAGTACCAGCAGGACTTCCATGTTTTTTTTCCCCACAACATCAGCATTTAATTCTGTTCTTTAGAGCCCTGAACTTTGCCATTTTTTCCTTTGTTCTGAGGAGTTATTTTGACTCTTGAAAGGGGTTGCCTAATATTATTTTGACATTCCTAATATGTTTGATCTTTGCAGAATGTGAAAGGGATTTCAGG